TCGCTCTATGGGAAAGAATGTCTGCAGATTTAAATTAGCCCCAAGCTTTACACGATTTGCTGCAGTAACCAAGATAAGTAAATTAAATGTATCAGGCTCTTGATACGTGCAATACGTGTTAGAAACATAAAAGAAAACCTGTAAGAACCGCGAGCGCGGTTGTTGGTGCGAATAAATTTTTTTATTTTTCGCGATGTTTTTAAGAGAATCAATTAATTAATTAATAGTTTAGGTATTGGACGGTTTCATTAATATTAACAATTGGGACACGGAGTCCATTTGACGTGGGAGGGTAGATTCTCCGCGTTTGAAGGTCCGACGAATTATTCAGCGCGTGCGTTATATTGACAGACACATTTTCACCCTCCTGTATATAAGATTTATTCGTATCAACAAGCGCGTTCGGCTCTCATAGACTTTAGGAAGATCAACAACTTGCTTGAAAAACAATTTGCAACGTCTGAAAGTAGCCGCATATTCGGTTACCGAAAGACTCAGGCAATCGAGATTGACAGCACTTGTTTGCGACATCGGATATCTTGATCTCGCGCATAAACGAGCATTCGCTTATTCGGGAACTGATTTATAAACGCAGCGGCGTTATCGACCGATTCGCTTAGACGGCACCGTCGACGGCGGCGGCGGCAAACTCGAAAATGATGAGCGGTGATATTAAATTCCCATTTTTATTACATCAACGTCAACATTGCGAGCGCTTAATTACGCGGCACATGGCGGTCGGTTTTTACAAGACGCGACGAGTGGCGAGTTACACGGGGAGAGATCGCGGCTTCTGTTCTCGAGACTTCGCGTTACCGACGCGCCGGCGGCGGTCGCATTCACTTCACGAAGATTAGACTGTCCAGGGCGTATCCCCCACGTGAGCTCGAGTCGCGTGAATTCGGGACTGTTTTCCGAGGCGCGGATTCGCGGCTGTTAAAGATAACGAACAACGGAACGGCCTCGGGCGAGCTGCAGAACTGCTACTCTGCGTATTCGCGCGCGTCGGAAATGTAACTTTCGAAAACTCGATAATTCAGCCGGGAACGTGCGCTCGTCATTACCGGGGGAAGAGGGTTCGTGCGTAACCTACCCCGCCGACGCTGTGCGACCGCTGTTCCCGGCGTTTTCATAACCGCGGCGAATTAAACGCGCGTTCTCGCTCGCACGGAAAAGGTCCTCCCAGCGCGGAGTGGAACGTCACTCGTGTGTCGACGGTGACGTTCAGCCTCTCCACAAGCTCTCCCGGCCCGATCGTTTCAACCTCGGCGAGGTTTTCCGTTTTAAACAGAGTGACGAAAAAAACATAAAACGCGCGCCACCGGTACTCGCGCGTTCGCTTTGTTTCCCGACGACCGGCGAAAGATCCTCGCGTCGAGCATCGACGGACTCGATGTTCGGTTTTACCCCATTGTACACCCTCGACGACGTATCCGCTACAGACGCGTACAGGATGTCGGAAATCCTACTCGGGATCCGAGTGTGGGATCGGTGCGAACGGATGGGGAAGTCACGTGGCATTTTGCGAAAATCCCAGCGGTTAATGAGGAATCGATTGATCTGTACGAGGTAACGGTCGCACGAGAAACAGTGGCCGGACTTCGCTCGAAGGAAAATGGCTTATAAATACGTCGGAAGGTGTCCTGGCGATCGGATGAGCGTCGACTGATTTCAAAAGCCTTCTCTTGCCTTCGCTACGTCCGCTTTCGTTCTTCCGCTTCTCTCGAATCGTCCCCTCCTACGATACCGTGTAACAGAGAAGGCTCTACTGATTAACACATCCCTGTCCTTCGGTCTTGACGTCAGCTCTCCAATGGCAACGCTCAGTCCATCCTTGTATCTCCGTGACGACCGCGCAGTCGAGTTAAAATGCTCGCCGCGCAGTCAAACGAGATCGCGAATGAGGAAGGAGATATAAAACCGCTTCAATTAATCAGGGACGATTAATTACGCGCCCACGGATGTGGAAGAGTCGCCGGCGAGCCGTATTAGCGAGCGAGCGAGCGCGCATTAATTTCCGGGATATTCATTCGTCCGTCCGTTCAGCGCGACCATCCGACGCCCGTCGGCGGATCCGATTTCCCCTCCCTCCCGTAAGCGTTATTTACAATTAAATTAAAACGGCGGATTCGTCAGCGCGGCGGTAGAAAGGAGGCGGAGGATGATCTTCGGCAGGGCGCGCTGCCGTCGTATTGTTAAGGATAAGCCGATCTTCTCGATATTCAATTTATACGCCGCGGTGCGTTTGATCGATGCGCGCCGCGGATGGAATTCCCATCGAATCTGCATACGGCAATATTCCCGGCTCCGTATATTTCGACATATCCATCGGCGAGAGGCTCGCTCGCGATGAACAAGGCCGTCGAATCGCCCGCCCGTTATCCGTCCGTTGCTGTATTCGGCAACGTTGACTAATATGATTGCTCGAGGACGATCCTGAACAACGGAATTCATCTCCTCCACGTGGTAACAAAGCCTCCGATATCTTTTTTTTCTCTCCTGCTATTCTATTTTTTCTTTTCTCTCTCTCTCTCTCTCTCTCTCTCTCTCTCTCTCTTTTTGGCGTGTTCGTTTTGCTTTTTCGGCGGAAAAATCGAGGAGGACGGAACGATACCGTGATGTATAACACTGTGCATCGACGGACGGACGGGCGTTTCGATAGGAATTCACCGTTGACAGATTACATCGATTCAACATATTTTTGTGCATTCCGCGGGGGACGAATAAATTTTTCGCCGTCGTCGTACACGCGCGACAACGCGCGTCACGCTCATAATTAATCGGGAGATTAATCGAGCGAGGTATTAACCCCCGAATAACAAGGGTCGGTTTCTATTCCGATACTTCTGCACACGCGCGCCGGCGAAAGCGTAGCGTGTTGTGATCTCGTGAGTCCTTCAAGCCGGTTTTCCCGCAGCAACTGGTAGCGTAAAGTAAGGTAGGACTGTACTACCTTAGGGCCTAATTCTCCCACCCAGCGCTTCCGATCAAATTTGACCTACCTTGTTATTAACGCTCGATTTTTTTCAATTATTTTTTTTAACTCATTTCATTATTTTATATTATTTATATCATATATTATTTTATATTATATATTATTTTGTGATAAAGTATTTGTCATAAATTGACGATGATAACAGATTGTGATTATTATTTTTGGACCAATTAAAGGGAAAAACGGATAACTTTCTCTCTCTCTTTTATTTTTATTGATTAAATTTTATTCAAATTCGATTAACTGTTTTCACAGTTTTTCCTCTCATTCTTTCTTAAATTATTCTTATTCATTATTATTATTCTCTTTTATATTGTTTTTCTGAAAGAAAATTAACAGTTTGAACACCCAATAGATGAGTTTTAAAGATTTCCATTCAGATAAATATCGCAATGTATTTTATACTTCAGGTATATTGCGATATATTTCGTTCATTTTTAAATATTTTCTAACTTATTGTGAAAATAAATATGCCCAGTCGACAAAATTAGTTAAATAAACGACAAAATGCTTCCACCAGTCGGGTCCGACCCATCTCGTTGAACGTGTGACTACATAAGCCTTGTTACTCGAGGGTTAAGAGTCGGCGCCGCTCCCGCGTCCCGGCGACGTTCCCCGCGTTCCCCCGAGTAAGTCGCGCGGTATAAGTCGCGTTTGAGAGAAAACAATTAAGTAACGATGAGCGAGCGAGACTCGGAGGCGAGCGGTAATGAATATTCAAAGGAGTGCGCTCGCGACTGCCGCGCGGGCTCGCCGAATTTTGCCGCCGACGACTTAAGATCTTTAACGACGTTTCATCCTCCGGGATATTCCGGCTCGTGAAAACGACGAAGACGGCGGCGGAAGGAAAACGGAAGCGGCGCTTAATCACGGCAAGAGCTCTCGCAGGAGAGGACGATGCCTCGTAGACGGAGAACGGCGGGAGAGAGGCATCGGGAGCGAAGAAACGTAGGGCGCGAGGTTTGAACCTCGAAAACGGGGAGAAGGGCTGGAAATAATCTTTTAAGGCGGCCGAAGAAGTTGCCGCAGTTATAAACAGAAATTTAGATCCAGTTGCTAAAGTAAACAGAGCAGGGAGCGCGCCACTCCGGATGCCTCCACTGCGATTCCATCCCTTGGTGCTTGATCTAAGCGACACAGCCTAGTAACCCTCCGGCTCTCTCCTTCCCTCCTCTCTCTCTCTCTCTCTCTCTCTCTTTCCCTCCTCCTCGTCTCTGTTTTTCTCTCTGTTCCTCTTTCTGCACTTGCCGGCGGGATAAGAGAGCGAGCGTCGTCGTCGTCGCGTCTCACCGAACGTGGAACTTTTCACTTAGCCACGGTCGCCGATAAAAAGTTGGCTGATCTAATAACCGGCGACACCAGCCAGCCACCGTCGACTCCGTCGTTCCATGATCGAAGTTTCCCAACGATTTCGCGGCGAGGTTGAGGTTGCCGCTCGCGGTGACGAGGACGACGGCTCTCCAAAATGCGTCGCGTGTGACCCGCGGAAGGGGGAAGGTTCGACGGGAAAAGGAGGTCTCGCCCTCCGAGTTTTCGGATCGCGAGCGAGCGAGCTGCGGCGGGGAACGCCGGCGGAATTTTATTCCCGTCGATGTCGCGCTACGCGGGGAACTCGCTGATGTACTCTCGCTTCTCTCTCTCTCTCTCTCTCTCTCTCTCTCTTTCTGAACGGTCTCAACCATCCGCCGGCGCTTTCGAGAAGTTGGTCGGCCTCTCGTTTTAACTTCTTTGCCGCGTGGAAGAGAAAAAAGAAACGAATGATATCGGTGATTCTCTTGCCCGTTTCCGTCAACGATCGATTCTAAATCAGCCCGCAATCTCTCTCTCTCTCTCTCTCTCTCTCTCTCTCATCTACGTTTTCGCGTTTCCTTCGTGGCCGAAAAGAAAGAGCGGCTGGTTGGAGCGCCGGTAAATCGCGCGTCTAGCGCGAACACGTGTAGATACGGCGGACGAATAAACGTTGCTGTGTATACATATTATATTGCTGTATTTTGCGCGAGCTTACCGCCCGTGACGCGACACGTGAGGTACGGTGTATCGCCTTCCTCATAAGGGCCAGCTGTGCCGTTCAAGATGCGACCCCATCGATCCAGAATGGTTGGCTGTTCCGGCGGAACTGCAACAGAAAGAGGGGGGGAAGAGTTCGTATAGCTGTTGTTTCGAAAAGTAGAAAGACAGGAGTGGAGAGACGCTTATCTTTATTATCATCGCCGGCGTTATCTACATTAATAACGCATCAAGTATCATTATCTACCTTATATAGAAATAGATTTGCTTGTTTTGGTCGAATAGTAGATTGCACGTTTTACTTCTGAAATGTATGTACATGTCACAAGCTCATCATAAGCACATCAAATTTACTCCAAATATATTCCCAATCCCAGTAAGTGTCCAAGTCCGACCCCTAGTCGAAGCAGTATTTTTCGGCAACATAATAAATAAAAAATCGCTTCTAATTGATTCAGCAACGGTAAAAGGAGTTTTCAGGGGAACTGATTGATTCGCAATAACTAACTATTAGCCTTTCGCACAAAATAATCGCAAAATGCTAAATAGACAAGGAAGTCTAATTACAATAAACCTCTCTCAATATATCAGCAATATATTCGCAACTGTCACTTGTTAGTCCATTCTTATCTTTCGAGGGATTCGAAGTCCGAACGTACGAAACATTCGCGCAATTCGCACACGTCTCGTCGAAGATTCACACGGAGCAACGCGGCGGCGCTCAGATATCGCGGATCGACGACATTATATCGCTATAAGTTATACATGTGTGTCGCGTGAGTTCGGGACTGGCTTTCTTTTTTACCGTTCCGCCGTTCCGTACAAATTCGGCGTGGCTGCATAGAATATGTAGTACGCGTATCGGGCTGGCGTGTAGCTATGATCGTTCGCGGATTAAGCGCGGCGATATTTTTCCGCGGAATATTCGCTCTCGCGAAATCGAAGCGGAGTCGGATAAACCGGCCAGGATATTTCTCTTGCTTTTTTCATTATTTTGGAAGTTACGCGCATACGTCGAACGTATCCGGCGTTTTATCAACGAGGTTACGGTACTCGCTTTCCCCTCATTCTTCCTTTCTTCCCCCGTGCTCGATCGCGCATCCTCCTTCCTCCCCCGCCTCCTCTCGCTCACGCTCTCGTCTTGTTTCCCGCGCACAGTTCTGCCTCTTTTTTGCCATCTTTTTCGTAAATTATGCGACCTCAGGCTCACCGCTTCGGCTCTCGTTTACCGATCCGAGCTAATTTCCCGCGACCGTAATCGCGCGGGTATACATCGGGGGTTTTATATCAATTCTCGCAATTTGAGTAGCGCTATTTGAGTGCGCTAATACCCGCTTAAATGCTTCGGTTAACGACTTTCATGAAAGAGTCATCGTTACGACGGTTAGCGCGTAAATAAGTAAAGCGGCAGGAGAAAACGGGCGGATTATTGGACGGCGAACGTGTACGCGTTTCGATTAAAGTTAAGCTCTTTCGTTGAATTTTACGTCCACCCTGGGAACTCTACCATTTATTTGAATGGATAATCTCTCTCTTTTCTCTCTCTTTCCCCCTCAACCTTTCCTCCCTTTCCCCGTCTTAGAAGCCTGTACTTCTTTATGAGCCGCGGAGGGTTGCGCGTTATCAGTCCCGCGCTCCGCCTTTCCTCGCGGAGCTCTTCATCGTCGCGCCGACTTCAGATCCCCGAAGTGAGACGCGAAAAAAGCGCGAGTCCACTTGTTGACGTTGCTACGAGTTATTATTTGTACCGCCACTCGTTCACCTCGTTCAGGACTACGGGGGAAAAAAAACAGGAACAAAAAAAAACAAAATATCGTCCGTCGCGCTCGGTTCTATTTTATTGATTCTCGCGCAATCGCGCAAAACTCGGTAAATTTATCGCGAATATTAATACTCAATATAGCTGGCTGAAGGGTCTCCGGCGAATTTACCGACTAGCACTCGACGCCGCGAGTCGCGTTCATCGACGATGCGTGCACGACTGTGTGTGTGTGTGTGCGATACGCGCGCGCGTATACGAGAGGTGCGCCAACCACTCGGACGCGTCCGCCTTTTTCATCCTCGGTAGATCGCTCGAATCGCCGATTCACTAGGAGAAAAAAAGAGATATATATCTACTAAGCCCACCCCCCCTTTCCCCCCGTGAAATATTTAACGCAGATTTTGCGGGCACGTAGTTCCGACGTTCTTTTTTTTTTTTTACGAGTGATCCTAGGATCGATTCGTGGCTACGACTGTGAAAAAAATGGTTCAGGCGATCGGCAGCGCGCCGCTGGAAAGGCGCGTGTCTGCGCGTCAGAACGTTCTAAACGTTCTGAACGTTTGCATATTTGTACAATTAGACCGCCAAATGCGGCCGAATGCGCCCTTCGATATCGCCCGCTCGCCCATCCGCGGGGAAAGTTTCACCGTTACCTCGCTTTATCGCTCGTCCGAGCGTTTCGGCGCGCTCCTCGCGCGTCGAAATTCGCCCTCCTCCATGAGAACTCTTCGAACGCGATCGAAATATTTATTTATTTATTTTTTGCTTTTTTTCTCTCTCTCTCCCGTTCGTGAGCGCAATCGCACAGACGGCTGAGCGAGAGACGGTTTTCCTACGGGAACGTGGCAGCAACGATGACCTGCGAACGCCGGTCGGTCGGTCTGCCGGCCGGACGGGACGGACGGTCGGATTGCCGGGTGGAAACGATCAAAAATCGCCGGCAAATCGAGAACGATAACGTTATCGGGCACGATACGCCCGGGCCCCTGACGAAAGCACTTAATCAAACGCTCCGCGTTCCGCGGCAAATTCAATTTTCGGCCATCCACCGTAACATCCTACGCCAACACCTCGTGGCCGACCCGAGCCGGCCTTTCTCCTCTTTCCTCTCTTCTTCCACCGCCCCCATGCCCCTCCCCGCCCCCTCCTCATATTTGCCCCTCGTTTTCTCTTCTTCCTCGTCGACCTCGTTCTCTTCTGTCCTCTCCCTTTTTCTCTCTCTCTCTCTCTCTCTCTCTCTCTGCTTCTCGTGATGGCGCAACGCCGCGATGAAATTTTCTCCCCAACCTCCGTTCCACCTGCCGGAACGTACCTGTAAAGTATTCACGAGAATTTATGGCCGCTTTTCAATCCATAATCGGGTGTATCGTGGAAAATAAAGCGTCATCCATCGTAGCCACGCATGTCAGCGTGCCAATCAATCGACGATGCCCGGCGCTTCTCTCTTTTTTTTTTTTCTATTCTACCGTGCACCTCCCCTCTTTGTTCTTTTATTTTTTGTTTTCGGCGACGTGGCATTTCGCTCTGGTTCGCCGGTCCTCCTTCTCCCCCTACCTCTCTCTCTCTCTCTCTCTCTCTCTTTTCCGCTCCTCTTTTCGATTTTTTCCGCGTGGTTTTTCGTTTTCGTCCGTTTCCGTTTTTTTTTCGGACACAGCCTTGGGAGTCGGAATGGAAAGGGAACGTCGGCGAAAGATATCACCGGTGGATTTCCGCATGGAAAACGCTGCGCGAGGGCTCCTGCGTTAAGCTCGTTTGACGCTGTTCGCGCACGGCGACTCTAAGCTTCGGGCGTAGATTAATTAAATCCACATCAATGTCGATGCGCGTGCGAATTGCATTTCTCGATTCTGGATTCGTTGCTGGATTCGTTTTCGATTCATCTTCCTCGAGTACGTCCTCCCGTTCCTTCAGGATCGTGCTCGCTCCTAATTTGCAAAGCGGTATAATTACACGTACCATCGAGTATTTCTGGGCGAAACTTCGCGTTTCGCGTGTATACGCACGTGAAAGATGGACATCGCGCGTAAAATTACGACTCGTGAAATATGCGGGCATAATGTGCGTAAAATATTGAAATAAATGGCCGAATATTGAAATATATTAAATTAGAAAAATCCTCCAACACTGTCTTAAATTTCCCGATGTTTCACACTCTCGAATATCTCTCGTTAAAACCTGATGTTAATCAATGATGATCAAAATTGTCAAAAAAGATAATGTGCCAAATTTATCTCAAAAGATAGGGAAATATTTGCGCTTTTCAGCGCATCGTTTAAACTCACGGTAACGTTTGAGAATAACGATCATCATTTTAGGGTTGGTAATTAGTCGCAAGCAAAGGAAGACCCGACGATCCTTTTTATTTACGCGCGATACAACTGACACGTGATAATAATTAAACGTTTGTACGACGGAAGCGACACGGGCGTGCACGGGTTGGTATGCGCGTAACGTTTAGCCGGCGCGGCCTCTAATTTAGCGCAATTTTGCTTCGAAAAGCTACGCGTTCGGGCAAATTAAATGGGAATCATAGCGTGATGCGCATCATCCGGGATGATCTGCAATGAACGATGACACCCCAGAGAGGTTTCATTTTCACGAGGCTCGAGAGATGATATTTCGCCGGACTTTTGCGCGCGGCGTGCACACCTGGCGTGTTTTCTCTCTCCGCGCTCTTTAATCCGATCGATCGATTCCAATCGCGAACGGCGATCCTTCTATGTTTCAGAATAGAAAGATTATTTATTGATCCTACGACCTGTCGTCGGATATGACGTCAATATACCGACCGCAGTGTCGATGAATAAATCAGAAAGATGGCTACCTCGGTTTTTTTTTCTCTTTCTCGTTTTTCCACTGAGAATGGAATAAATAGCTAAAAAAAGAATACGAAGAGAGCTAAAAGAGCACCAAGGAATAAACGCGATCGAAGCTCACGATGCACTTTCGCGTCATATCGGATACGCGAAAAAGAAGAACGATCAATTTGTTTCACGAGCATCGAGAAGGGTGAGAGAGGGAAAGAGGTGGATGTTCGAGATTATTCGTCAATTCGTAAAATCGGTTTCTACGAGGACGAAAGAGGCGCGCGCACGCGTACGGAATTTCTTCATTATAATTTTCCTGATCGAATTTAATTAGCGGAGTAAAACAAAGTCGATCCGAAGTACGAAATTAAGCAATTAACGAGCGCGACATATTACGATGACGAGATAAAGTCATCCTTTATCGTAGCGCCGCGTCACGGTGAATTGATTCGGCGAAAGACGAAACTACTAAAAGCCTGCATGATAGAGTTCCGAAAGGAAACTAAATTTCATCTCGTTCCACTTTGTCGGGCGGAGCAC